TTTTTATTTGATGGAAAAAAAAAAAAAAAAAAAAATTATAATTGGACCCAGAGAAATCCAAATTCACCGACATAATCGACTCTCCGATTTAATTATTGAAAATTAAAAATAATTAAAAGTATTATGGTTGGATTTGGTTACTCCGAAAATTTTCCAAATTCATTGAAAATGGCAACAAATTTTATCATCGGATTCACGGGTAACATTTTTTTTTTAATTAATAAAAATATCTTTCTTAACTTCAAATATTTCAATAATACTTTTAAACTAAAAAAAAAATTAAAAATATATTTTATAACCTTTAAAAAATGTCAAAAATATCTTTTACCATTAATATTACATTTAAAATAATTTTACCATTAATATCTATAAAATTGAATAAATAGTTGTACATACTTGGTCTTTGCTCCTATTGATGATAAAAAAAATTAATTTTAAATTAATTTTTTTTTATATATATAAAAGTTAGAATATTATGGCTACTTTATAAGAATAATTTTTAAGTTTTTTACAACTTAAAAGAGTTTTATTGTTGAAAGGTATTTTTTAAAAATATTTTTAGAAGTTCAACTCTATTTTTAAAATAAAATATGAATTATTTCGTCCAAATCTAGGGAAAATATTTTTCAAACTTTCTTTTTAGTTAAAAGATATTTTTCTAAAATTTTTAAAATTATCCATTTTTCTTATGTTTTATTCCATTTTAAAATGGACATTTCAGCTTTCATTTTCATTTTAGTTAATAAAAGTCAATTTAATTATTTTTTAAAACGTCATAATTAAATTATGGGTCAATTTTGAAATTCGAAATATTTTGATCTATCTCTGCATTATTGCTTCATCTATATTAAATAATTTATCCTTTTTTATGATATAAATTAAAAAGGACAAAAAGTTTTAAAAAATCTGCCTTATCTATAAAGTTTTTTACTAAAAGAAAATTGACGACAATCACTGAATTTTTTTTTAAAGGAAAATTTAAATTTAAATTTTTTTATTTTTTTTTTCTACAAATATATTTAAAAAAAAAAAAGAATAAATTAGAAGAGGAGACAGGGGTAGGTCGGTGGTCGGTGCACAGGTACTGTTCGGAATTGACTTTTACTAGAGGCAATAACGACATTGTGAAATGACACCTTTGTCCTTGTTTTCTAGTAAGAGAGGAAGGGCAATATAGGAACAAAAGGCCTAATGAGTGAAAGGTGGGCCCATCAATGTATATAATATTTAGGGCGGCTAAATTTTATGTGCAAGACTTGGTCCCCAATAATTTTTATTTTCTATAATATTTTATTTTTATTTTAAATAAAAATTGATTGATTGAGAAAGGCATCGTTCGGGGGTTGGAATTTCCTCGTATATTATAAGGGGGATATTTTCCAATAAATTAAAAAATTATGTAATTACACATTTACCCTTGTTTGTTTTATTATTAAATTTTTAAGCCATCCATAATGAATTTTGTATACTTTTTTTATGTAAGAAATATATTATTTTAAATTGTGAAATTTGATTACTTCTTAAAAGAAACGTTTCTTTAGCAAGTTGAATATACCAAGTTTCATAAGAGTCTACGTGTGCAAACTCTTAGTTCACAAATGCTAAAACTCCCAAATCAAGTTGATACGGTCCATGAACCACCAAGATCATGATCGAGGAAGATTTCTGAGATCGAGAAATATAAATTATAGTTCTAAACATCATCATCTTCCGATATGCATAACATACGTGTTTACTTTACATCTATTTCACTTACAATAGTCATTCAAATAAATAAAAAAAAAAAAAAAACATTTCAGCCTAAGGAAGCATTTCAATAGTAAAACCATTTATCTTAGCTACTAATTCAAACAAACAAGTTGTTAATTCCTATTAAAGAGATGTTGATCTAAGCCTCAACGAATGACAAATCTCACCAAGCTAAATGACCCTGAAAAATATAAGAGATGAGATTCAAGTATAAATATGTGGGACACAAATAGGACTGTAAAAACATTGAGTACTCGTGTGTGGTGGTCACGTCGATCGAGACAAGCGACAATCTTGGTTGGTGTCAATCAGAGATATTGCTCGTGAGTGGTTGTTACTCCAATCATGTCAATCGAGGTCGGAGCAAGGAAGATCATCAAGCTGAAATGGAATTTAGAATAGATGGGCTAAAGTTATTGCTCCATAAATATGAAAATGACCCATACCAAAATTTGATGAAATATGGCCAATACATTTTAATGATACCAAGCTAAAGCTAAGGTCAATTTAAAGCACCGTCCATGGAAGGATTTAATTACAAAATTTGGAAGCAACCAAATTATAACAGCATGTTCTAGTGGCTATGCACGTGTCATAATTATGATTGTTATGTTATGCTCTGCTATGTTGTGTCATGTCATGTCATATTTATAAGCTATGTTGTAGTGTGACTATACCTGAAGTTATGATGAAGATAATCAATTATGCACGAACCTCTAAAAACTGTCATATAAGTTATGCTATGTATGGAAGATTTGACACTAATTATGTAGGCATAATTAACATAGTCATTATGTTATAAATTAATAAAAGTTTGACACGTATTATAAATTTATACTAGTATGCATACCTTACAAGTTACGATTTTATGTTTGCCATGATGTAATGCAGGTCCTTTCTCTATGTGGTGTCTAGAAGCCCTTTGACAAGTGCTAACTCGACGAGCCAGAACCATGGGGTATGCAAGCTTGTCTGGTGGGTCCATATGTACGTGCATGTATCGTGTATAGGAAAGTACTACACATCCAACCTTGCGTGTGTGCGTGTATCATATGTTTACATTTTCCAACCTCAATAAAGAGTAAGGTTACTTACTGTTCTATTGAGTTTTTCATGTGGGCTTGGGATGGATTGTTTTTGGGCTCAACCCTTTTGAATTTTTGCTTTGTTGGTTTAGGGGTTGATGCATATTTAATCATCAAACCATAGGATTCAGGATAACCATCATCAACCTTCAAACCATGCTGCCGGAAAATGAAGAGTTCAGAATCACCGTTCTGCCTCTCTCCGCCTCCGGCCACACTATTCCGATCGTTGACATGGGGAGGCTCTTCGCCCGCCACGGCTCCACTGTCACCATCATCACCACCGAGTCCAACGCCCGCATTATCCACAAATCCATTGACGGCGACTTCGACACCGACTACAAACTTAAGGCCCACATCGTTACATTCCCCGGCGCCGAGGTCGGCCTTCCACCCGGCATCGAGAACTACAGCGACGTCTCCTCTCGCGACCTCCAAGCCAAAATCTACCAAGCCTCTCATCCTCGATGGCCTTATAGATCAGGTACTCTTTTAAAACACTTTTGCAATTAAATTTGTTCTTTAACTCATATTCTTCCATGGCAGGACATCATCCCGGCGACCCGACCCGATGCATTCTCAGCAACCTTTCATTCGCGTGGTCCACCGACACGGCAGAGAGGCTCGGCGTGCCACGATTGGTGTTCTCCGTGTCCAATTTCATGGCGTATTCTGCAGAGCACTCTGTTCTGCAACATTCCCCTCACCTGAAAGTAGCTTCCGAAACAGAGCCATTCGAAATCCCTGGATTATCCACAAAATTCAAATGATAAAATTACGGTTGACTTTGGCGATTAGGAGGAAAATGTTGAAAAAACTGGCGGAAGGTTTCTTCTCCAGAAAAATAGGAGGAGTAAAAGGATAGAGGGAGAGAGATTGGTTGAAACTAGTCATTATTTTTTTTTTGTTTGACTTCTTTAAATAACACATCTAATTACCAAAAATTAATTACAAAAAATAGAGAAGTGGGCAAAGACTTCGCCCAAATTAGCCAAAAATTGCAGCTATAATTACGCTCTCCATTGTCGTGAATTCAGAAGTTTTGAGGAGTCAACAACCTAACTAAAGGAATATAGCTTTTATTTAACAATCTCCTCCTAAAAGATTATATCTACCTTATTATTTGAACTCCGATCTTTGAGCGTAGTTCTTCAAATTTTACCCGCGCTAGGGACTTGGTGAAAATGTCTCCAAGTTGTTCCTCTGTTCGGATGAAATCAATCTTAATGAGCCCTCGACCTGCACATTCTCGAATGTAGTGGAATCTGATTTCTATGTGCTTGCTCCGGTCGTGCAAAACTAGATTTTTGATCAGGGAGATCGTAGCTTTGTTGTCTACGTATAGCATTGGTGGACCGACCGCTTTCTCTCTCGATGAGTTCTTCCATTAGTCGCGCAAGTCATTGCTTGCTCCGGTCGTGAAACTGGATTTTTGATCAGGGAGATCGTAGCTTTGTTGTCTACGTATAGTATTGGTGGACCGCTTTTTCTCCCGATGAGTTCTTCCATTAGTCGCGCAAGCCATTGCTTGCTCCGGTCGTGGAACTGGATTTTTGATCAGGGAGATCGTAGCTTTGTTGTCTACGTATAGCATTGGTGGACCGCTTTTTTTCTCGATGAGTTCTTCCATTAGTCGCGCAAGCCAGACCCCTTGTGTTGCTGCCATCGAAGCAGCGATGTATTCTGCTTCGCAGAAAGACAAAACAACTACCTTCTGTTTTGTTGATTGCCAGCAAATCGCGCCGATTGAGAGGAAGTAGATCATTCCGCTGGTGCTCTTACGCTCATCAACATTCCTGTAGCCACTAGATGCTCCTCCCTAGGTGCTTCCATAAACCTGCTCACATATAGCAAATCGCGCCGATCAAGAGAAAGTAGATCATTCCGTTGGTGCTCTTACGATCATCAACATTCACCGGCCATGTCACTATCACTGTAGCCGACCACCTTGAGTTTCTCCTTCCTTTCCCTGCACAGTATCTTACACCCCAGCCTCTGGTTCCGACTACATAGCACAAGATGCGCTTGACAGCCACTAGATGCTCCTCCCTAGGTGCTTCCATAAACCTGCTCACATATACAGAATAAGCGAGATCAGGACGAGAGTTTATCAGATAGCACAGACTCCCGACAATGGTTTGCCTCGATCACGTCATTCGACTGCCAGAAGGTGCTTTCGTCGAAGACAACGTCGCGAGACACGTGAGCTCGCCCCCCTACAGGATCATAGAACATGTAGGCCTTGCTCTACTGGGTTCATAGCCGATGAAGCTTGGCGAGGTGGGGACATGTTGCCTTCATGTATGCGACGCAGCCGAACATGCGGAAATGAATTCTCGTTGGAGGGAGTAGGGCGCCCGTTAGGTGTTGTTGTATGCTGATTTCATCGCAGCTCCGGGCAGCCGATGGTGACGTGGCCGGTAAGCTCGGAGCAATTTTTTAACTAGAAGCTGCTGACGGAGGTGCTACCGGTGGGGGCACGGTGGTGATGGAATATGAGCGACGAGATGAAGGAAATTGTGGGGAGAGAGAAGGTGGAGAAGGCGGTGAGGTTTTTGGTGGGGGCGACGGAGATCAGAAAGCGGGCCAAAGAGCTTGGGGCGGCTGCAAAGAGGGCGGTTGAAACCGGCGGCTCGACGGAGAATAATATCGCGTCGTTGATGAAAGAGCTTAAGTCCATTCCATGAAGCTTAAACGGTGCGGCGGCGAACAGTCTCCACCAACATAAAAAATTAAGAAAAATAAAAAGTATTTAATTTTGGATTAAATGTTTAATGCCAATAATTAATTTTAAAGTTTAAATGAGTTACGCTCATTTTAATTTTAAAATTTTAAGCTTTGAAATTTCTATAATTAGTATTGTGTTTGTATGGCAGATATTTTGATAATGAAATTATAAATTAATTAATTTTAAACATATAATATAGTTTAATACAAAAGATCCTTAAGAGGAAGTAACGTTTTCCACGTGGAAAATCTTCAAGTTACAGATTAAATTACTTAAAATTACTTAAAAGAAACTTCAAAAGTACATTTCTCTTGGTTTTGAATGAAACGGTGAAGTATTTAAGTGAATACTAATTTAATAAATTAAATAAACACATACCTTTGTTGAAACTAAAATAAACGTCTGAGGCAGAAGCATGGAAACGAAACTTGACACGTTTTTATTTCTTCAAAGTTATAAAAGGCCATGTTTTTCACATGCTAAATTCCACATAAATCTGCACGTGTACCCACACCAACCCACGTTTTTTTTTTTTTTGTTCGAACAAATCTTGTATTTTTATAAAATCTATTCTCGAACAAAAAATGCTAATGGTTAACACAACTATTTGTGGAAAATACCTGCACACTTATGATTTTTAAGATACTCTATTTTACTTGAAATTTCTTATTTAAAGAAGACAATAATATTTATAGTTATCTAATATAGTTTTAGTATAGAAAACTAATGATCTAAATAAAGTTTGTCGTAACATTAGTTATCCCTTGATTGATTAGTGGGTTCAGTAGCGGGGCACTAGATGCTAAGTTTCATGGTTGCTTGCTCTATGTACCATAAGATCCAATCACACTACCAACAATCATTGCTACAAGTACCGGTCTTAGGGTTCAACTTATTCAGCTTCAAAACAAAAGAAATTTGACTAATATGATCAAACCAACTTAGAGATGCATTGAATTATTGGATCAGGAAGTTAAGAAAAAATTGTTGAATCGAACTCTAACTGTGAACCGGACTTGAATTGAAAAGAAAACCCACGAACCAATCAAAGTAGAGTTGAACTGTTGGGAACAAACTAAACTAATCATTGGACCAATTGAACCGATTCCGCTTTGCATCCCCCTAAATTGCATTTTTCTTCTTATTCTTCGTCAGGAATTGGGTGTTTGTATAATGGATCTGAGTGTGACATGACTTTTACAAGGATGAATGATGACCGATTACAGCGACAATGAGACGACGCATGTGACACCCAAAAACTTGTTGCATTGTGAACACCCTATTTAATGTATCAGAGTGTTCATCTAAAACTATATTTTTTATTTTTAAGTTTTTTAATTTTTTTAATTTTTTTTTTTAAGTTTAAGGTATTTTGATTTTTTCTTTTTTTGAAATTTTAAAAAGTAAGAAAGTTATTTTTTATTTTTATTTTTTTATAATAGCAAAGTATTTATTATTGAATGGGTTTTAAGCTCCAAATTTCAGAACCCTACGTCCGAAGAACGAGTAACCCGCGACCCGCAATCCTTGAGAAACAGCGAGGGGTATAAGCCCAGATTCGAAGCTCATAAAGAGATTTCTAATTACCAGTTTCGATTCAGAATGCTCGGTCGAAGTAGGTTCCTCTCGTTCCCCATGGTAATTGGCGCTGTTATGTAAGTTCTCTTCCCCAATTTGCATCACTTCCTTTAATCAATCAATTCGAGACTACAATCTGCCGAATCCCAATTTTTTGTTTTTCTTGAAATAGATCCTGATGTTCAAATTGCCATATGAAAATTGATTCACAATTTTATTTTCTTGCCGTTTCTCTCCTGAATGAATTGCCTCGTATGGTCTTCTTGATTACGGCACCCGAAATTATAGGACCAGGAAGTAGTTTCTACAATCAGCAGGGGAGATGTCTCTTTGGTTAAATACAATACAACTAAGCAATACTTGAGAGTAAATGAAAACGCTTCTAAAAGATTTGCTGTTAACGGAAGTAGGCAGGATTATCTTTCAGCGTTGCCTTGTGGATTTTAGGTTTTAGTTTGTTTATCTATCTCCAAATTAATCTCCCATTTGAAAGAACTGAAGCATAATGAAAGGGTTGGAGTTCTTGGTATCAGCCTACCGACCCATAATTTAAGTTACTGAGATGATATTTGGAAGTTAGAACATTCAAAAGTTTCAAGAATTTGAGAAACTTTCTAAATTCTTTCAGCCATTACTAGTTAATGGAGTTCATATAGTTTTTCTCCCCTGTAATTCAAGAACAACGTCTCAGGATCCAAAAATTTGTTAATGCAAGTTTATTGACTTACAGTTGTAGCATGAGTTGGGATTTCTTATGGGAAAGTTTAGTATAACATTTAAGCTCTCGTTGAGTTTTGTGCTGGAATTTAAACATTGTTTCTGAGTGATAAATGAGTTGAGCATCTGAATAGACTCTGGAATATATGTTGCAGCATTGGTGTTGTCTCTGGGAAAGCAATATTTGGGCCACCTCTTGATGAATACTGGAGAAAGAAGCTGGATGAAGAGGCAAGCGCAAAGGATTCAGGTACAACTACTCAAGTTAGCATAGGTCAGGATAGTCATGTTTAGCGACATGAATATGCAGAGATTGGATAAATATTGTTGCTGAAACAATGGTTAAATGCATAATCTTACATGGATATTTAAGAATGGGTTCGGCACGTACGACCTTACTTGAATAGGATCTGCTCTATAGGTTGTACAATTGTAACTTTGAGTTCAAAGGATGCCTTCTTTTATATGGATTATATGCACACAAAAATGGGAGTTCATGTCATGAGTGATGATTGTCTTTTCATTATCTCCTACTTATGCATCAAAGGTTAGTAAATCGAAGTAAAGCCTGCAAAAGCTTTAGAACAAAACAATACATGCAGGCTCTGGCTTCCCATCAAAGATAGAAAAGGGTGGGATTTGGTACCCGGGTGGATAAGGAACGGTTTCATGTATTGGAGGATATAGACTGCAATAAGGCTAGATTCTTCCTGCGTTCTTTGAGTTTTTTAAGAGAAGAAAAAAGAAGCGTTAAGAAACTGGGCAGGGAATTTTGAGTTTGACTAGGTATGAAGGTTAAATTATAGATTATTTTGACGCATATTTTTTTTTATAATTATTTTTATTTTGTTTTACTATAAAACTTTTGAAAATTCAAAGTAAAGTATTTTTAAAAATTTTTAAAGTTCAGGGTATTATTGAATTTTTGAAAATTCATATGTATTTTCGAAATAGAAACAGACAAAATTTATGGTATGGTTTATAATTTAGCCATTTTTTTAAATTTTAAAATTACTTTTTTTTTTCTGTTTACTTTTTAATTCATTTTATTAGTTGATAAGAATCCATTATATTTGATTTCATGGGCTTTTTTATATATATATATATATATATATATATATATATATATTAGATTTGTATTTAAATGTTAAATATTTTAATAAATTAATTTTTTTATATAAATAAAACTACAACAGTACTGACTATTACCACATGTGCGTGTGCGCATATATATCTATATATAATAGAAATTTTTCTATTTTATTTAAATGGTAGTCCATGACTTGGTAAATGTTTTATTTCAAATTTTTGCATATATTAATTAAGGTATGTATGTAGTAATGTCTTTAGAAAATTATGGGCCTTAAAAAAAATTATCTAACTTTTTTTTTTTTATAAATAACTAAAATTAAGGCTTAAAAAAATTAAATATACGTAATGAACTTTTTACAATAACTAAATTGATATCTAACATAATATACAGGGACAAGAATAGGGTTTTAAAAAAAATTAAGTATGGGTGATAAAAATTATCAAAATTTTTACAAATAACTAAATTTGATATTTAAACAAATAATTTATAAGAATAAACAAAAAAAAAAAAAAAAA